GAAAGAAAGGGCCGACAGAACTCCTGAACTGATGGAACCCGAACAACAGCAAAAATGCCAGTTTGAAAGATTTTTATTAGTATATGATTATAATATAGTGTATGTTCCTAAATACATTCATAATGGAAAATTGGTACATATACATATTATATCTTCATCCTTTTTTACTTCCTTTTACCCTTCTCCTCATCAAAGTCTGTCTCCCTGAAAGTCACATTTTTTAAAATGTGCGCTCTATTCAGAAAATATCTGTGAAATGACAAAATATATGAATGAATGCATGAATCCATAAATATTTACTCTTCTTGGGAAACATTAGGCGAGTTCCTTTTTTCAGAGCAAAAGATTTCCCTGAGATTTGGTTTAAAATTGTTGTGAGACAATTACACTACTGTTGTGAAAGTTTCTCGTGGATTTTAATGGAAAAATACAGCCTTCCCTACCGGTGGCAAGCCCAGCTATCTGCCAAGGAGATGTGCAGGCCCTCACATGAGGGTGTGCTGTGCTCCAGAGCATGCTGTTAAAGTGCCCTGCAGGAACCTTGCCAGTGCCTACAGGCGAGTCGGGCTTGGGCACCAGTTTGGGCACTAGCTTGGGCTCCATGGGCACACTCAAAAGAGTAGGGGCACACACACAGACTGGCCTGGCTTTACCCCTTCCTAGCTCTGAGATTAAACTGTTAACTGCTCTGACAAAGCCTCAGTTTCCTCCTAGAAATAACACTCTACCCATGGTAGCTGTGAAGACTTACTAAAATACCATATCTGCTATGTAGTAAGAACTCAGTAAACAGAAACATAATGATATTGATGACAGAGATGTTAAAAATGATGACAGTGACAGCTATGATTCAGCTAGCCATTTACGAATTTACTGTTGTAAATATCAGTCATATAGGAAAGAACTATGAGCCTTACTTAACTCATAGTTTTCTCCTTGTAGACAATTTATAGGTAGAAAGTCTGTCTTATATTATGTAGAGAACTTCAAGTCCAAACCAAAGGAGTTAGTTTAATGATTTAAATCTCTGATACCCCAATACTGCAGCAAAATACTCCACAGTTGCCCAGGCCCTCTTGTCATTCCATCAAGACATTCTCTGCTTTGAACAATTTCAAACGAACACTGCTATTTCCTGCCTTTCTGGCTCCTTTTTTCAGTGTTTTATTGCGACCAGTGCTCTTCTTATTGGCCTCTCACTTCTCTAATGGTCTTTTTCCTTCACTCCACCTGAGTCCTTTACTCCCATGGCTATCCCATCAACCTTACCATCACCAGTCTTCAGATCTCCCATTCTACAACCTTGGAAATTTTCCATTTTCTCTTTTTAATTATAACCCAATATCCCCTCCCCTCCGAATTTCTTCAACTATATCCTAACTTCCAATTCATGAATCTCACCAGTTTCTATCCATTGTTATGCCTGCCCTTTTTTTTAGCTTAGACTACACGATCCCAATTATTGTTAATCATTTATTTATACATTTTGTATTCCCTTGCTCTTCTCTCCTTCTATCATAATCATTCTGCAAAACTCCCAGAACAAGCTTAGTGATCCACCATTTTCAGGTCTGTACCTGAGCAGCTAGAGATAACTGAGGCATACATATAATTTAACAAACTAGTTTTGTTTTAAATTAACAATCTCAAATTATCTGATCCGGTGTCAACAATGGCAGAGCTCTGCGATTTCTTTAGTGTACAATTCTTGCTCCCTCATTCTCTGAGATTACTCTGACATTATCATCCCTGTTCAAACCTCCTATGTCTTACTTGCCCAATTGCAGTTGCTGACTGCCTCCTTCTTTGCTTGAAAATTCGAAGCCTTCTCTCAGTACCATCAAGACCTCTCCCTTCTTGTACCCAGCCTCCCACCTTCTCCTTGCTGTTCTTATTAAACTAAGAAATTTTCTCTCTTCCTACTGATCTAGGGTCACTGACATGTGTTCTTGATCATGTCCCATTTGTCCACCTCAAGACTTTCAGTTTTCCCAGGATCATCATTGTCACCCTCTCGCCTGGGTTTTTCCATCAGCTGTAAGCTCAACATGCACACATGTTGACTTCACACCCCTTCCATCCTCTCCTCTAATGAGTCAGAGCTCTGCTTCCCCTTCATGTCTGAACCTCTCAAAACCATTAACCATTATACAGCTTCCCTGTCTACCACCTCCACACTTGGTCCTAAGTGCTCTTTCCTATGTGATCCACAACTCCCAACACTTACATTGTTCCATTTTCAGGCGAGCAGTTGTCTGGCTTCACACTATATTTTTTCCCACTGTTTAGCTACTTTGTCTCCTCTACTGGCATCTCCTCTTAATAACAAATGGCTAAGTATTCGAGTTCCCCAGATCCCAGACTTAATTCTCATATTGCTTAGGAGCTCTCACTCCAGGTGATTCGTCTCCTCCCATGCAATTAACATTTGTAACTCCAGCCAAATGTCTCTTCTAAGAGGAGAATGTATATGTTCATCTTTCTCCTTGACATGACAGGGTCGTCTCAAATATAGCAAAACCGCCCTTAATAGTCTGCATGCCTACAGTCAAAACAATTTCTCATCCAGTCTTCTCTATTTCTGTATTACTAACATCACCCACCCAGTTGCTCAAACTAAAATCCAGAGCATTAACTTTGATATACTTATTTGTAATCTTTTAACTCCTGCAGTTTCAGCACCCAAAGTGAGTCTCAACCCAATCTGCTTTTCTCCACTCTACCAACACTTTAATGTGAGCCACTATTAGATCTCATCTGAATTATTGTTGGAGTTTCCTTGTTGGCCTTCGGGTTTCCAATCTTGCAAATTCATAGTATTTTTCTCCCTGACACCTTTTAAGACTTCTATTGAATTCTTAACAAAATATAAAATTGTTACTCCCACCTCCGAAGCCCCGAATGGCCAGGCCTATGTATGCCCTGCCTCCTACCCCTCATCTTGAGTCACTCTGCCCTTGACCATTATTTTCCTGCTACACCTGTCTCCTTTCAGTTCTTGGAACACACACAGCTCCTTTATTTTATGCTTGAGAGCTTTCCTAACTGACTGATTCATTTTTCAGGTCTTAGCTCTAATGTCACCTCTTCAGGGAAAACCTTCCATCATCAACTTATGAGAGAGATCTCTTCAATTATGTTTCTAGTACCTTATTCAGTTTTATCCTTCATAGCATTCATTAAAAATTTATAATCATATTTGTATGCACTTGTTTATGTATCTCCTTATCTTTCTTCCTCCATGGGCTGTGAGCTCAAGGGGGAAGAGCCCGACCCTGTTTTAAGCACCAGTTAGCATCCACTGCAGAGGGAAACACTGGGCCCCTTTGCACCTCTATACCTTACCTGTGCTTTTCTTGCTGCCTCTGGCCAAGGCTGGGAGTGACACCCATCATCTATACTGATGCTTCCCTTTGCTCCTCAAGAAACTCAGGCAGAAATTGACGCTCAAAAAAAAGAAATTCATTGAACAAGTGAATGAGTAAATGAATACCGGTATCCCACACATTTTTAGAACTTCTGTTCTCGCTGATATTTTATGATTAAGATTACCTCACTTATGTCATGGAGTATTGACTTAGACGTGTGAAGTTTGGCAAGCTGACTTTGCCATTGCTCTCCTTTTCTACCTACCCCTTTCCTGTCTGGCAGGGAGCTGCTTCCCTGAACTTTCACTCCCCCGCCTCCCATGTGTTCTTTCAGTCTTTGCCCTTAGCTATTCTAAGGTGTTATTTTACCACTTGCATATGCTTTATCCACACTGAACTTCTCTTCGTTTTCAGGAAACAATGGGACCCTCTCATAGCCACTGACTACCTCTACCCCATAGCTGTGTGTGGCATACCCCAGCCTGTATAGATGTTTTCCTCTGCTGCCAAAGAGCAGGTATTGGGAGCAGCAGAGTTTTGCCACTGTTGGAACCACAGGTGCCACACAGAGAGGGAAAATACACCTCTCTTCTGTGTTATATTCTGCTGTCTGGGTGCCAGAGCATCATGTCTTCTACTATCCCAAATCTGATGTATTAGACTATGAAATTTAGTCTTTATGATCTTAAGGAAATAAACATCAAAAGTCTAACATATCCATACAATAATTTTATTATCTTTGTTTTCACTTTTAAGTATGGAAAAATAATAATATAAGCATATTTAGACCTTCTGTGTAGCCCTCATATGATCCAGTGCTGCCATATTATTTTCATGACCATAATCACTTTGCATTTATAAACACACGAATGGAAAGCACAATTGCATTTTGAAATACAGCACAAAGTCTTTCACAATTGTTTGAAAAACGAGGTAATGTTGGGAAAATTTGGTCTTTCTGTAGTACATTATGATCTAGGCATGGCCCAGAGCAGTGCCTTGAGAACTTGTGGGACCAAACTGTTGTTTTGTGCTGTCCCCCCCTTTGGATGCATCAAATAACAACCATCAGTTATGAGTGTGCCTTTTAAAGTAGGGCTATAATAAAAATAACTTGTTAATATTAAGTTCTCAAAAGAATGTTTTAACATTTAAAAATAGTCAATGGATTATTATGAGAAATATTATCAAGGAGATTTTAGGGGAAAAAACCTGTTCTTTCTGTTTTCCTTTTTCACTTCTAGTTTTTGTTTTGTTTTCAATGATCAACCCAAACTCTTCCAAGACTCTGAAAGATGTTCTCCAGATTTGGGGTAAAATATACACCTAAATTCCTAACATGACAATGTACTCAAACTTATTCCTGCCCTACCTCCAAACAACTGAGGTGGATGGATTCTCTCCCAGGCCTTTGTGTAAGCAGCTTCTTTGCGGGTACCTGCACCTCCAGTCCTGGAGCAAAGGCATGGCTTCTCACAGCTTAGATTCGGGCTGGTATCCCCACTATCCTGGCTCAGCGAATGAATAAATCAAAGTCAAATGAGAAACAAGTGATGGAGTGAAATAAAGAATTAAAGATATTGCTTACTTGCTCTATGATTTGGAGGGGGAAAAATTTTTCTTTCTTTCCAGGTGATAGAAGAGAGATCTAAATTAGAAATGGATAAAGGAAAAGCAAAACCTTCCAAAGAGAAGAAGGCCCCAGGTGTCAAGGGTGCTAAAGGGAAGGGAAAGGATCAGCTTGAGGTCAACACAACAGTTAAGAAGACCACCGAGTTAAAACGAAGGGGAGAAGAGGATGACACCAAGTATTACATTGGTCAGTGAGGTTCTGCTGCTGCTGCTGGTTGCCTTTCACATTTTGCTTTATGACCTGTAACATAACTTGAGACATCATTCTAATAACTATGCTTAATCTTTCCCACTCTTTTCATTCTCTGTAAAATCGTGTCACTTATTTTCCGTAACACTTTAACACAAAATTATTTCTCTTTGAAATTCATTTATGTTTTTGGCAAATACTTATTTAGTATGTGTTTGACAATGCATATTTAGCAACATAGGAGGAGATAGCAAGATAATTACACCACCAAAGATCATACTATCTTGCTGGGAATGTAAAGTCCGGCGTAATTATGAGGCAAAGTAAAAAGTGATCGTTGTATAAGCAAAATAGAATTGTAATAAAATCAGGCCACTTAATTTGAGACTCACACAGAGCACATAGCTTCCTAATCTCAACTTCTCTCACTATCATTTTGCCTGAAATATACCAACTAGAATATTCTTTCATGTTAGATTACTGACATATGATTTGTCCTAGGCAGCTATGAGTTATTCACTACTGCCTTCCCTTGAACGCAAATGGAGCTATATGTTATTATCTGCATTGTATTTATTTATCATTTTGAAAATAATAGATTTTAACTTTTTAGTAATTTTAGGTCATACTTAAAAAGAATAGGGTGAGGTTTCCTGTTCTTTTTTTTTTTTTGGTACCAGGGATTGAACTGGGGTCCTTGGGCTTGCGCAGCAGGCTGCGAAACCACTGAGCTAAATCCCCAGCCCCAAGCTTTCCTGTTCGTGCAGTCAATTCCTGTCATATATCTCTGCTCTAAATTCACTACTTCAAAGTTATAATATGATGAGTTTCCTTGGCAATATCAGCGGTGATTTATTATGATGAAGGAAAAATAATTTTAAAAGTTAAAAGTTGTGCATCTGTTGTATTATTTGTGAGTTGATCTCAATGGGCTATTATAAAATATAGTGTTTTCATGTACCATCAAAATCAATATAATATTACAATGATTCTCATCCCATAGAATATCATATTCTAATATAAACTCATATTTTAATAAAATGGCATAACTAGGGCAAAATAGGAGAAATTTTAGGAAAATATGCAATATGTATTTTAAAATTTTAATGCAATGAATACATAATTATTACATAAACAATTCTCAGAATTCACACCAACTGACATAAGTGCATATAATGCTTTGATAGGGAGCACATCCATATTCAATATTTCCCTCTCCTGTAAACACCTCTGCTTGTAAAATACCACAAAGCTGCAGCTACTTGTAATTCAGGAGTAAACCCAGATGTTGTTCAAAGGTGATTAGAACCAAAAAAAGTTACAGGCTAAACTCTGACAAAAACTAGAGCACACACTTTCCATGCCCATGAGCCCCATGTATATTTGTCCTCCTATTACTTCTATGTCTTATTTGCAAAAGTGATTTAATATTTTGTAAAATGGCTGAGGTCTTCTTACTGGAAGGGCAATAATGAAAAACAGTTAACAGGACTGCATTCCAGCCAACTGGACCATTTTTGGCAAACCAGAGGGACTATAAATGCATGCATAACGTATATAGCTATTGTACTGTCTGGGCACAACCTGTTCTCCTTTACAATTATGACTACTCTTCTTTATGGTATTTTGAACAGACGATGAGCCAGATGATGGTGCCCAACATTACATTATTGTTGTGGGCTTCAACAATCCTCAGCTACTAGCCATTATGACTGAGCTTGGCATTCCCATAACCAGTGTGATTAAAATATCTTCAGAGAATTATGAACCTCTGCAGACACACCTGGCAGCACTTAGCCAGCAGCAGGAAGTTTCTCTTCAGCCAGAAGGTATGCAGTCTGTTACACAACTTATTGAGTCCTTCAATATTACCCACAGTCCTTAAAGTACAAATACTATCTGCTGTCCAAAACATAGTCATATAATACATACATTATTAAATCCTTTCAAGACTTTGCTTTGCTATTTATTCTGCTTATATCAGCCAAGAGTCATAAATTTTGCAAATTAAAATCATACTCTGTTTATACCCCAGTGTAGCCACAGAAAATATAGACTGCAGGTCAGGAGACTTGGTTGTCCAACTATGTTTCTCAGGAACTTTTGATATGTAACTTCTTATACACAAAGCCATGGGCTAGGTAGATTACTGGTGAATGAATGAATCAGTTCTTGCAAAAGTCACCAATGGCCCAAGTGAGATCATAACCTGGGAGTCTTGCCCTACTTGTTACTAGCTTATTGTGATAAATTGGAGGGGACACTTTATCTTCTTGGCCGTGGATTAGGAAGTTGTGGAATAAAGTCCTGATCACACTACCATTCAGTCATTTGAAGCTCTGGGGGTCTTCATCTCAGGGAATTACGCTAGACTTACTCTGTGGGAAAGGAGCAGAAAGCTACTGTTCAATAACAGAACTGAGATTTCATGTAAACCTGTGTTTCCAAAAGTCTCAGCTCTTTCGTCCTTATGTATTGCTTTTATTTTCATTCATTAAAAATATTTGCATAGTCTTTTGTAATCACATCCCAATTTCTATTACACTGCATTTCTTTTTCAAGTTAGAAATCACTACCCCTGATAATAATAATAGCTATCGTGTATTGGGCACATGTCTTGGGCCTAGACTCATAGCTAAGAGCTTTAAATACACTGACTCGTTTAGTTTGCATGACAAGCCTAGCAAATATGCTTTATCATTTCCATTTTTCTAAAAGTGACTCTCAGACTAGAATCAGCTATTAGGTAAAAGAAATGAGATTCACACCCAAACTATTCCAGAATATCTGAAAGGATAGTTATATTAAATAATTTACTGATGAAACTAATGAGAAAATGTGGCATAAGTATGAAAAATACTCTCTGTATAATATTTAATGTAAAAATAAATTAATATAAAATAGCCTTTAAAATAGAATAATATCTTAGTATTATAACATACTATTTAGTTCTAGATATAGTAAGAATAAATACTCAAGTGTGGAAATTTGTCATTATTTTACAGTCAGAATGCAAATGCTCAAGGAAGACAGTGCTATTTTAATATGACCAAAAGTTAACTGAAGCATAAATCATTGATCCGGTGTGATTTTACCCTTGTAAGAAGAAGTAAATCAAGAACTTTTTAAAATCAGTTATGTAGCAGACACAAATATTATTGAAAAGTTATTTGGCAGAAAAACTGGCCCTATATAGATGCCCTAAGAGTGATAGAAATCTTGATTATATTTAGTTTCCAAAGTGTATGGCCTTTTCATAATCATTCTTGGCCTCAACAATAAAATGAAATGGTAGGATAAATTCACATGTAATATCAGTTTTAGAAGTAAATTGTTTGATTTCATAATTCTATTGTTCAGTTTCAAGAACTTTTTAAAATTTTTATTTTATTAGTACATGTTTGTAGTACATAATGATTATACTCATTGTTTTTATTTGCATTTTTGTGTTACTGTACAAATATTTCTTAATGCATGTGACTCACTATGTCCGGTTAAAGTTGGAAGAAATTCAATACTCTCATTTTGTAGTAAAACATATTGCTATTATTAGATAAAGAAGCTGAAAACCTGAAGAAAGAGAATGCCATAAAAGAACTTGAATTTTTCTGGAAATATTTGGACCCGATCCTGAATAATGAGAAACCTGAAACCAATCTCTTTGATGTTGCTCGACTTGAATACACAGTCAAAGCAGCTGATTTTCCACATGATTGGTCAGACGGCCAGATGCTGGTCAGTACGTTCATGAGTGAGAATACCTCATTGCAACATGTGGTGCTGTCGTCCATTTACCTCATCCATTCATGCCACAGATACTTAGTGAACACTGACTATAAAGCCCCATAATGGTTCTGATTCTGTAGCTCTTAATGTATGCATTAATAATAAAGAATAGGATGCAGTAGATAAAGATAAATAATAGTGATTCTTTTATTTAATAACACAGAGTTTTGTTTCATGCCTCAACAATGTTGAACCGGTAATTAGAATATCAATATATACTGACTGAGGAAATGGTGAAATTTTATATTCTGTCTCTTTTTGTTCCTCTCTCTCTCTCTCTGCATGTCAGCTCAAACATTATCTTTCTAAGCTCTTGCTTTTATTGCCAAAATTTTATTCTTTAAATATTCTTGGCCAAGATGCTCTATCTTTATCAGATTACTTGACCCTGGCCCAACAACTAACAGACACTTCCTGAGAACATTTACTGGTCCCTGCTATTGAGAAGCTCGCAGAGAAGAAATATTAAAGCCATGAGACAAAGAAACAGTGACTGAGATGCCATACATCCAGGGGCTAAGTTATCTGAAGCATACTCCTAAGTTTCCTATTCATTCAAAAGAGGAAGAAATGAGATGCTGGGAAATGTAGTGAATTCAGAGAACTGGCAAACGCTTTCTTTTGTGTATCTTCTTCATGCTCTAGCACATGCTGAGAAAAGATGAAATGTGCCCAGCTCAAACTAGTCCATTCTGTGGCATCATTGGGCACAGAGGCGAACACCACAGCACACAGTTGCGACTTCAGAAGTCTTGGCATCGTCCCCAGCATCCTGTTTCCTACTCCAGTGTCCACAGTTTCCTACTCATTTGATTAATATTTCCATTGTAATGAAAGACAAAGTGGTAATTTTTTTCAAACTACAGAAGACTTTAAATGGTGATTAAAGTTGAGAAGAATTATTTTCTGTTAAAAAATGTGTTACTAGCTTAGTTGAAATATGAGGTATGGTAGAACATGCCTGACTTCAGGACTAGATGGTTAATGTTCAGCATGTCTATTTGGCCATGGAGGCAACTGTCATCTGAAAGTATTCAGCTCTCTAGAGAGTCAGAGCTGCACTGCCTAGCTGATTCTACTGATGTCCTACCAGCTCATTTGCAAGTGAGTAATGAGCATCATTTTTGTGCCAGGGCTTTGGTCTGGGTCCAGCTGTAGTAACCTTCTAGGGCCAAGCAGATTTGTGAGTAAAGGACCCACCATTGAAAATGATGGGGAAGAGAGCCTCCAAAGCCACTGAATTGAATACTGAGGATCAAAGTTCATTTTAAACTTAAGATGACCTAGTGAACAAAAAATGACAAATCTACTTTTAGTAGAAACAGACCAAATACATGGTGTTCATACACTCAGCTGTATCTGTCAGTTGATAATGGCCTTGTATCCAAAGTAAAAGCCAGCCGAGGAATTCTTCCTCCTTTATGGATGAAAAGCACTTGCAACCTGTGGCTGCAAACAAGCAAGCTGCATTCCTGCTTTACCAGGGTAACAAAAGCTTTACGTCAAACAAATGCCCGTCAAGATGTGCTAACTGCTCATGCAACACATCTGCAACATCTCAAGTTAAACCCTGGTTGCTGAAATAATTTGCTGGCCTTTAGTATATCATTTGCTGTTTGATTTTAAAATGAATTAACTAAGTTAAGCTAAACATTGAGCAAAAGCTTTACTATATTGTCTCAAATAGTATTTCTATGCCAGAATGTAGGCAAAAAAAAAAAAGAATACCAGGTTGAAGTTTAACTGGAAAACCCTCAGTCTTAACGTGAGCATGTGAAGCAGATAGACAGGTGTGTAGTGATGGACAGAGCTATGCACATCTCTGGACCAGACCAGAATTCACTGACCCCACAAGAAGCCCTCGCATTCTTCCCTCTTCGACTCAGACGTAGGATGAGCCTATTTCATCCTTCTTTCCTTTCAAGCAGACAGACCCAGCAATCACAGTGTTTTTCTACTTCTGAAAATGAAAGCTCAAGTTATGAATGCATCTGATCTGTGCTTGCTTGTCAGCTCATAAAACTTATGAGTGTTGTAGAAGCAGTAGTCTAATGGAATTCCCTAATGTCTTTCCCTAAATGTAGCAGAGGTAAAAGGAAACGGAGAGGCAGGGAAAGAAGAAAGAAATATTGATTGTGCATGTGCTGTAGTTTTCCTGAGCAGATGATACTTGACGCCCAGTGAATGACTCTGTTTTGCTCCCGCATAGCCAGGCAAGAAATCATCTGTTGTTTGTCTCTGGCTAAGGATGTCAAACTTACCTAACACATTTTAGGAATTGAGATATAAAAACTATAGGCTTTGCTGAGGAAACTAATGGTTAGATTGTTTTTCACTTGGTTAAAACATTGATTAGCGGTTTTCAATATTAGACAGCTATAAGGTCCTGTAAAGGGAACAGTCTGCATTGGGATGAACAAGAACAGTAAGCAAGGTTCACTTGGTCACTGCAGCTGGAATCCAATTGTTCAGGGATTCAGGGATTTTCTGTCCTATAAAAATTTGGCAAGCTTAGCTGATAAGAGATACAAATCGTGTATCTATCTCCAATACTCTGGAACTAATAACCAGTTGTCATTAATTCTCTCACCTGTAGCTGAAATTGGGCACCATTGTTTTTGAAAATATTGCTTGTCTGATGTATGACACCCTGGATTGGAAAAGGCAGCACCAACATTATTTGGAAAGCATGCAGCTTATTAATGTCCCACAAGTGGTTAATGAAAAAGCTCTCTTAGAAGCCATCCCCATTTCTGAGGTAGGTATGGGCTCAAATGTCTTTCATGGGCAAAATGATGAACCAAACAACTTGATTTTTGCACTTATAAAGCACAAAATAAAAATATTGTGTACTTGTGTTGAGGTAATACTGCTTTCTGGAATTAAACCCATGAGGGTGGAAACTAGAAAAAGGCACCTAGTAGAGGGCTATGTGGTAGGGTCTTTATGGAGCTTCTCAACTATCTAACATCTACAAAAGTAAGGATGGAATGCACCTATCAGCACATGGTGCAAGGAGTAACATGGAGAACAAAGCAGGGGGGTTGTCACAAAGTAATCATCATTTTTATTTAGCATATACTATGTGCTTAGACTGGTGCGAGATACTGACAACACAACGTGAAGACTCATTCCCTCTCCTCATCACTGAAGGAAACTTTTAAAGAGGTTAGTCCACAGTTTCAATATAGCATGATGAATCTATGAGAGCACAGCTCCAATTACAGGAGAAAGAAGCAGTAAAAAATGGTACCTCACCTAACTGGCGGAGAAGGATGCAGAGAGAGGAGTTAGAAAAATATTACCAGGGTTAGTGATATGGTGAAGGCTCAGTTTGAACTTTCTAGTAGGAAACTTGATGGAGAAAAGGGACATGCTGATAGTCTCACAAAAGGGGCAAAGTTACACAAAGACATGGCAATGAAAGAAACTGTCATGCCACAAGCCAGGACCACAGGGAAGGAAGTGAGTGTTCCCAAGCTGCCTTTGCAAAAGGGAGAGCAACGTATTTCACATGACCTATTATACATTTAGTCCTTATTTACACTTCCAGTTTCTCACACCAGAGAAACTATTCAGTATTTACACATCTGTGTCCTATTTATTTCACTTAAGAGTATTGCCTCAATGTGCATCCATTTAGCTATAAATGTCTCTAATTTCTCATTTTTTATGGCTGAGTAGTACTCCATTTTTTAAAAATCCACATTTTCTTTATCCAGTCTCCAGTTGATGGGCATTTGGGCTGTTTCCAAGTTTTAGCTATTACAAACTGCGCTGCTATGAGCATGGGTGCACATATATCACTGTGGTATGATTCTTTTAATTCTTTGGGGAAGATCTCCAGCAGTGGAATAGCGGGGTAAAATGGGATTTCCAGTCCTAGTTCTTTGAGGTATCTCCATACTGATTTGCACAGTGCTTGCACCAGTCGACACTCCCACCAGCAGTGGAGCAGGGTTCCTCTTTCCCCACAGCCCCGCCAGCATTTGTTATTGGTTGATTTCATGAGGGGCAAAGGGGAAGGAAGTGGGAGGGCTAAGGGAAAGGATAGAAGGGAATGGGATTAATATGAGAAAATGGAAAAATAGGAACAAAATTTTTGTAAATAGGGAGGGCTGGAGGGGTTGAAGCGAGGGCTGGGCAAGGGTGAAAAATAAGAACCAAGAGAGACTATGTAAAGGTGCAAATTTCCAATGATGAATGTCATTATATTGTATACTTAAAATGTACCAATGATTAGAATGAATAATCAATAATGTAAAATAGGAATAAAAGGTCCAAAGGGGTAGGGGTAGTGGGAGGGGCAGGGGAAAGGAAAGAAGAGAAAGGAAAAAATGATGAGAAATGGAAAAAATGGAAATAAAGTCTTTGTAAATAGGGAAGCGTGGAGGGCGTGAAGGGAGGGCTAGGAATGGGGAAAAAATAAGAACCAAGATGCATTATATAAAGGTACAATTCCCAATGAGAAATGTAATTGTGTTGTATACCTACAACGTACCAATAAAAGAATTTAATACAAAAAAAAAAAAAAGGGAGAGCAACTATCTGACTTAAAGCTGCAGAAACAGGAGGCCTCTGGTGCTGAGTTAACAAGTTTTTGGGTTTTATCCTCAACACAATGGAGAACCAATGAAAGGCTGCTATGGGAGAATGCTATTACCCAGCAGCATCCAGGAAAGAAAATCTTGACTCTCAGTGCACCATCACCCCATCATCTTCCAGGCAGTTGCTTACTGGGAAGTGTTAACAACAACAACAAAAAAATGAATAGCACCTACACCCATAGCTTTCTTCCTCCCACAGACAAAGCCCTTTTTCTTCAATGCTAATACTAGAAAATGATTCTGTAGTATGAACATAATTATAGTCAGAATCCTGTTGGGATCTAATCATCTGATGAAACCACCTCTCTGATGGATACCTCAGTTGTCTCTCTTTCATTATTTCTCTTTTAGGCTCCAAAAGTTGTTCCAGGGCCTGGAAAGAAGAAAGCACAGCCTGAAGAGCCACAGGTTGCACCACCAGGCATGTATGGAGTTGGCTGCTGGAGGATCAGCATCGTGAGCTGGCCCTTTAAAGAACAAAAACTGCCCTCCCTGTTGCTTTCCGCCCTCCCTCCACCTACAGTTGCTATATTATTTAGTGCATAGTCATAGTTTGCTATTCCACATGAAATATGGATGGAAGAAATGGAGAGCATGTCTTCATTGGACAATATTATTTTCTGTATTTTATAGCGACTTTCATCATCACAACTGAAGTAGACATGAGATATTACAATGATCTGCTGAATCCAATTCCGGAGGAATTCATTTCTGTGCCCCTGATACTGCACTGTATTTTAGAGCAAGTGAGTAGACTCTGAGCCTCTAAGAAAGTCAATTCATTTCTCTTTGCTTTCACTTTTTAACACTATTTTAAAATTATCCTCATAATACCTGAAAACATTCTCATATATAGAGATTAGCACATTTTAGATAAATGTAGACGAGTTCATTTTATATTCCTCCAAGTTTTGGTAGAATATATCATTAAAATTATCTCTGTCTAGTGTTGTTTGAATCAAAGAGGAAGAGGACATGGACTGGTAGGTGGGGCGATTAAGAGTCTAACTCTCTGTAATATTTTTTGTCCTTAAAGATTAAATTAGGTTTTTCTACTTGTAAAGCCAATTTTTGTCATTGGTATAAATACATTCATTTTATTTGGATTTTCAAGATGATATAAGGTTTTTATACTATTCACTTAAATAATAATGATGTGATGTTCGCGATGTGACAAAAGGTGAATATGAAAAAGATTAATATGAATTAATATGAATTCATTAATATGAATTGACAAAAGATTAATATGAATTGACCTAATGGGGAAAGGGACAATGATGTCCCAAAGAAAGGGGCAAAAAAGATATGGAAGTCAAAGAAAAGAAGTTCATTATTCCAGTATGCCTGTACAAATTGGAGGCCAACTGTACCAATAATACAACATCTGGTTATGTTCTCTTTCTTGTGACTGATGCTGTTTATCTATGGCCTCTCTTGCCTTGGTTATGGTTGCCAGTGGTGTATCTATTAAATTGGTCTTTTCAAAGAAACAGCATTGTTTCATTGGTCAGCTTTTTAAATTTTTATTGATTTACTTATCTTTATTATTTCCTTCTTTCTACTCTCTTTGGGTTTATTTTGCATTTAATGTCATTTATTCTTGAAAAACAATGAGGACTTGTCCTGAACTCCAACCTCCTCCACTCAGTTGGACCAATCATGTAATTTCACTCACCCTACTTTTTTTCTCTATAAAATGGAAAATAATATCTACCCCAAAAGATTGCTGTGGGGCTTAAATGACTTACTGTATAAAGATGTCCTACACGGCACCTGACATGTGCTAGGCACTTAATAAACTTAAATTAAATACAAAGTTCCACAAGCACTGTTTTTGGTGCTTTAAAAAAAAAAGAATAGATATTTTTGAAATTGTCATTTTGACTTCTCCCACAGTAAGGTTTACTATTTATTATTTTTATTCTGTGTTGTCTATTTTAATGCAAGTATCAGAGTTATGTGTACTTTAATACATGGATTGCAAACATGTTTCCTTTTATTTTCATCCTCACTGATACTTTCCTGCCATTGTGAGTAATCACTAGTATCTTTTTTTTTTCAGGTTTTTTTTTATTAATTATACTGGTACATTTAAGGTCTACAGTATAATGACATTCATCACTGGAAATCTGCACCTTTACATAAACCATCTGGGTTCTTATTTTTTCCCCCTTCCCCTGCCCTCCCTTCAACCCCTCCACCCCTCCCTATCTACAAAGACTTTGTTTCCATTGTTTCATTTTCTCATATTAATTCCATTCCCTTCTTTCTTTTCACCCAGCCCTCCCATTACCCCCTCCCCTTTGCACCTTTTCTTCCTATTTCACATGTGCACCTGTGTTCATAGCAGCACAATTCGTGACAGCTAAAACTTGGAATCACTGGTATCTTAATGGTAGGAACAGCTTTCTCACTAAGCACAATGGTAATACATGACCATCAATAAAGAGCTGACCATCTCACCAATTCCTCCCAACTGCTTTTCCCAATAGGTTGTGGCAACTGAAGAAGATCTCGTCCCCCCCAGTTTGGTGGAGCCACCCCACAGGGAAGATGGGTTAGACCACAGGATTGCTGCTCACATTGTGTCCATCCTGCCCTCGCTCTGCCTCTCAGAGAGGGAGAAAAAGGTCAGGTAGTAAGAGATAGCCAGAGATTTTGTGCCTTGAAAAAGCTTATATTCTCTCTTTCAGTCAATATTATTTCAATTTAAATAGAGCCTCCGTGAAGCATTCTTACCTGAAGAAGAAAGGGAAATCAAAGCAGTGCCCAAAGGCCCTGTCTTACTGAACTACCATGACGCACATGCCTACAAGAAGTCCGCACTAAAGGTAATCAGGTCACCCTAAGGAAAATTGATGTAAGAAAGTGCATGTGTAATTCCACAATGGGAGGAATGTCAATTAGGTAACTACAAACACTAACAAAACGTAGTGTGCACAATGGATACCTGTTTACAGTGTGAGATCTCAGAAAACAGATGGATAAGGAGGAAATCATGTCATCAAAGAAACCTTGACTAGCAATAGAGATCCAGTTAACCACTGACACTAAATTTGCACTAAAACCTTATAGCTTTTGCTTTAAATGTCTGCTGATATAAGAAACTAGTGGAGGCCAGAAAAGGGCCTCCAAAGGGAGAGATGAATCTATACAAGGCTTTGGCAGTTTGTCATTGCAAATGAAGGATCAATCTTTTCTGTGCACCAGGAACTTCTGGCAAAGTGAGAACTCGCTTTTTTGACCTTCAGCAACATACCAAGTTTGTCTTCCTCAATTATCACTGATTTCCCCTGTTCCCAAATAATGAAAGTGAAGGTATCAAGTTTAACCTCCTCCATATGCATAAGGCACTTGATGGCTTACTTTAATGCCTTCTGTCATGTGGCTCCTTTGTGTCAGGACCAAAAGAATCTTGACCCAGTTCAAATTGAGCAGGAGATGCAGTCCAAGCTGCCACTGTGGGAACTCCTTCGATTCCCTCTACTCCCACCTTGGAACAGCACCAAACGTTTAGCTACCATTCATGAGCTCATGCACTTCTGTACAAATGGTGAGTATATTGTTTTATCTTCGCTTACATTCACTGTAATTAATAGTCATAGGTGGCTCTTTGAATTACATCTTTATTTACAAAATGTATTGTGATCATTGAAACACTTCAGAGGCAAAGGTGGTGTGCTGATGGACTACAACTTTCTTCCTTGCATAATGTCCTTAGCAACAGTATGATAGCTATGATGCATAACATTCTGCAAGCTGATGCACTGGTTTTCTTAACCAGAATAATTCCCTTCTTTCCTACCTTTTCTCCCCACCTCCATCCCACCTGTCCCCCTTGACCATACTGGAGATGATGTGGTAATCTCATTCTATTTATGGTCCTTTCCTGGGAAAATGTTATCCTTCTATCTACAGCCTCACCACTGCACCCCTTTATCATCACAGAAAACCATACAAATACGACAATAACACTGCAGTGGTATTAGCTAGGAAGTAGGAAGGGCAAGCATGACCATGCAACGTTGCCTCTATCGAGATATCTTTCTTTGCATTCTCATACTCTCTGGTTTCAGCTACTTGTGATCAAAAAACAAGTTCCAGAAGAATTTTGGTATCCAAAGGAAACTTGAATTGGGCTCCTTATCCCAGACTTAATCAATAGATCAGATATAACATGAAATTTGGTTTTTAAATATATCTATACCTATCAGTCTACCTGCTAGGGAAAAAAAAAAAAGATGAGAACATTACATTCCAGTGTAACCACCAAATCACCCTGTATAAGAGAATAGAAAATTCATAGTAAGAATACAACCATGCCTATCATGAAGAAAAAAGAAGAAATCCTATCAGCCAGATCCCCACCTCTTCGGTGGGAAACTATATTTTTGCTCCTCAAATGATTCATAATATTGAAGTTTGGATCATCATTTATCGCTCAACTATTGTTGGCCACATGTTAGAAGAATGGTGTCCCAATCAGAAACCAGATGCTATTTCACTCGTTGAAAGGTTAAGTGGTAACAGAGATCAGAGAAAAGAGAACACAAGAGGGTAAGGGAAGCTCTTTTGGGAACAAATCTATATCTTGTCAATTTGACTTACACAAACGTCTTGTCAATTTATTCCATGTTTCTTTTGCCTTCTGTATCCTTTCTTGAGCCTACATAAATAGCAAACAAAAAGCATCCCACCTTTACCTCTTTACAAAAGGGCTTTTTTCAGAAAAACCACAGCTCTTAGCTAAGGCCCTCCCTCCTCTTCTTCATGAAGGACTGTTTCATTAAGGAATTTTTCTACCTCTACCCTTTCTGTCCCTCCATAGTTCTTCTTTTCTAGATAACCTGAATTTGGCAGGAATGTTCACCAGGTTTAATTTAATGTGAGCACTTATTGGCTCACCTCTTCCCAAGAGCATGTGAAGGAAAGGAGAAAGAGTATGACTCAGGAGGCAAATGTGCTCATGGAAGTTCCTACTTCACCCCACCCTGAGATAGAAATCTGAGAAAGATGTTCATGTCCAAAAATTGAATTTGTATAAAGATGAATCACAGAACCATAAAATTTTCTAACTGAAAGGACCTTCGGAATTAATCTCATCCAAATCTCTTTCTGGATAAGAAACCTGAAATCCTTTAAATAATTTAAAGGGTTGTAACAATAGCAGCAGAGCCAAGACTAAAATTCTGGCCTCTCGATGTCCAATATGTCACCTTTTTTTTCTACATTAGTGAGCAGAAAGCAGGACAGAAACCACAGTAGAAATCTGATTGTACTATCCGCAGTTTTGAACATCTGCCCTTGATCTCACCTGGGGATACAGAGATGAACCTGAGGCCCCTGTTTATGTGCTGTTGAGAGTGAGTTAATTCAAGGAGGCTCTTCTCCTGACAAAAGAGCCACATTATGTTCTTAAGAACAACGAGAAGAGGGGTCATTAAGAATATCTAGAAACACTTTTTATCTCAGAGATCCCTAAAATTTTGTGATACAATCATTTCCTAAAACAAATTATGTTTCTCACTTGAGGCAGTAGGCAGATGCCTCTCTAGATACAAGAGGGCATATTAAATCACAGGGACATCCTTGACAAGAGAGCATTTGACCTTAAAAAACTGAAAAAGTGTGTACAGATTTTTCCTTCCAATCTCACTTCTAACTCTATCCAAATTTCCAAATATTTTATTTTGATTTCTTTTTCCATTTTTAAGTAGGAATCAATTTTAAAATCAAATTTTAAAAAAAGTCAAGCTGGGGATTTAGCTCAGTGGTTTTGCCGCCTGCTGCACAAACGCAAGGACCTGAGTTCAATCCCTAGTACCAAAAAAAAGTCAAGATCTTTTGAACACTGTCATATCATCAACCCACGAGCCGAGCAGGCTGCGGAATAATGGGTCTGGGTATATCATGTCTGCTGTCCACAAAACCATCGTTTTATGACTTCCCCGAGAACATCAGGCCACATAGGCCCTTGCCTGGATGATGCCACACTCCAGCTGTCCTTCTGCCCCATGATACGACCCCATCCTCTCTGTAGCTGAGTTTTCCAACAGCTCAGGATTCTTGTTCCTGTTGCCACCACTGAAACCTCACGCTCGTGCTGCTTACATGTCCCACCCCAGACTCTCGATCCACCTGCCCCTCCTTCCTCTCTTCCCTTTTATACCTCCTATTAACAAGTCCAAAATCAAACTTGTGATTCCTGATCCCCATACTTTACCCTTCATGATCCTCTTCTTTCATGAAGTAGCAAGTGTTTTCTATCAAAGCCTTGGAGTCACCTCCACGTCTTTGTTTTACTTGCACCCCTGAACCAATCCCGCCACATCTCTCACTACCATCCCACACCAGTTCCCCTTCATCTCTCACTGAGGCTGCTTCAGTTGCTATCACCTACAGGCTTTGTATATCCAGACCACAATCAAAATTGTCCTTCTAAAATGTTAGATCCTGTGTCGCCTTGGCCCAAAACCCTTTAGCATTTCACTTAGAGCAAAATGTAAATTCTCTACCACCCATTACTTGAGCTCATCACCTGTCAAGCTTTCACTCCATTCACACTGACCTCCTGGTGCTTCTCAAATGCATCAGTCACATCCTTGGCTTGGAGTCTTTGCACTTGCTGGTCCCCCTCCCCAATCACTTTGCTCCCAGACCTCTATATGGGTTGCTCTTCTACTTCTTTCACATTTTTCCTTAGTTATTTGCTGTGGGCCAAGCCTGAAGATGACCTTTCGCCTAATCCCTACTCTGTTTCTCCTCCATAGATTAGAAACTGTGTCTGTTTGACTAATATTGTAGACCCTGGACTGCACGGCCCCAGGAGACAGTTACATTGTATCCTTCCCTGTTCCCTTCCTGCACATCCCCCAATCACGAAACAATCACACTATGTTCCGCCCAGGCCACATAGGCCACATAGCACTATTTGCCCCGCCTTCTCTTCCTGTTTGCCTTCCACTATAAATAAAGAGCACGTGGTGCTCCAGTTGGCCATTAGCTCCTGACAAGCTATGGTTCCACCTGGTCCCAGCTATCAAGTGGAATCTTGGTCTCATCATCTTTTCTTCATCTCCCACTGCTCTCACCGGCTGTGGGTCACAGCAGATATTCCAAGGATTTTTCTATGACTATCGCTTGGTTCGCCAGCTTTCATTACAGCTACTGACGTCTAGTAGGTGCTCAAAAAATTCTGTAAAATAATGGATAAGCAAATTCTCCCTTATTCAATAATTCTTTACCCCTTCCATGCCTCTCTTCTGAGTCCCACTGTGATTTCCAGAAGGACCCCTGCTGCTCTCCTCATCTCTGTTGGAAAGAAAAATGAAGGCAATTTCTAAATTATTCATCTATTACAACAATTTTATTTTTCTTCATTGGATTCTACATTTGTTTTTTTTATGCTCAGTTCTCTTTACTACAACTAAGTACATGAGTGACAGGGTAGAGGGTGCAACAAGACATGAAATGTACACCCCTCTGTGCTCCCCAAAACACACCTGCACACACGATGGCAGTGTCTGCAAAAACACGGGCCATGTGGGGGATGGGAAAGGGGAGGCACACACACACACACACACACACACACACACACACATAAATGCCCACAGTAAATACCAGAGAATAGCCCCTAATGTACGTACACAGCCATACATGGGGAATCCCCTGGTCCCCACCTCAACCTTCTCCCCTGTCTTGCTGTCCCATTCTGAATTTATTTGTTAATCCTTACCTCTTACCTTTCTATCTTAAATTTTCAAAGTGTAAGAACCAAATTTGTTATTCTTTGAATCCTTGGAACCTGTGACAAAATCTAATGTTCATTCATGGAATGACCAAACAGTAAATGAATGAAGAACACATGCTGTAAAAAAATAAATACATTATTGAATAGATCCAAGTGAAAGCTGGTGACTTTGAAGTACAGTCCTGCAAAGTAGCAGTTCATGTGGCGGGGAGAGGGGAGGGTTTTTCCTAAATCTGAATAAACAGGAAAACCTACTAATATAACAGCCTATATTAGGCACATGTAAATAATCTCCCAGGCTTAATTTATAATAGTAGCACAGAGTATTTTTCCTTAAAATAAATTTTAAACATATTCAACAAATATGGCATCCTGAAAAGTCTGCGTACATAAATATGGATGCCTAATATTGACTAAGCTATGAAGCAGTTTGGGAACATTAACTTGATCAACTCTATCTCTCTTGACTGTGGTTTGCTTATTATCGGGTATCTCTGATATCTGTTGCTGACTTGTGGAAGCTATGTGTAAAGTCAGGTTAGCACCCGTCATGTAGTGACTCCCTTGTCATCCTAGCACACAGACCCTTTGACAGCCCATCTCTCAGACCTGTACCACGAACCAATACAAGTATTTCTAGACATGGGTCTTGCCTTCTTACAGAACTCTTGAGCTGGAATGAAGTAGAACGAGCCTTCAAACTCTTTACTTTTGAGAGCCTGAAGCTCTCTGAGGTGGACAAAGCAGGGAAAATAAAGCCTTCTGGAATTATGTATGGAACAGCTGCTCAAGAGGTTTATATACCGTGGGACAACCCTGCCACATTTGCTAAACACATAAGGCAGCAACACATCATGAAAATGAATACTCCAGAGGCCAAACAGAAAACAGGTACACTGCATGGAAGGAATGAAAAACATTCTTACATTTTATGATTGGCAATTGTTCTAGTATTATATCCAGTGAACATCCTTTATATTGGCTAGATACTGAACCCCAAGACAGGACTATATATGTGGATCCAAATTGGTCAACATCTTTGCAAGATAATGAAATCAATGGAGATGTTTCAAATCTTAATCTGCCTGATGCTGACAATATGAAGCATTATGACTCAGGTACTATGAAACCCTTAGACTCTGATGAAAGAGAGCTCTTGGAGCAGGAGGGCAAAGTGAAGCCTCAGTTCCAACCAGAGCCTTTGAGAAGTAAAGGTATAGTATGTAGTAAAGGTATGTTTGTAACAGTGTCATACATAAAAAAAAGAAGTTTTTCAAGATGTGTTAAATTTAAATCCCTGCTTATTTTAATTAGAAGACTATGTAATATGTAATTTATTTGGTTATTTAAACTTTTTCTTGAGTGTTATTACTCAGTAAGTCTTCTTTATTCAGCCCTTTCTTTTTCAAAACATCCAAATTCCATTTAGTCCACTCTAGTAAATTTGTTGCTGTGAACATTACTAAAACTTTCATCAGTAGTATTTCATGGGGTTATCATGATTGTTTGCTAAAACTTGTATGTGTGTGTGTGTGTGTGTGTGTGTGTGTGTGCTACTACTAGGGGTTGAACTCAAGACCTTAACACTACACTACATCCCCACCCCTTCATTATTTTTTGTTTTGTGACAATGCCTCACTAAATTGCCCAGGCAGAACTGGAATTTACAGTCCTTCTGCCTCAGGCTTCCAGAGTCCAGGGATTACAGGAATGTACCACTATACCTGGCTTGCTCTGATTATTTTTTAAATCATCTATAATAACATAGCGAAATGCCTTGTGTAGAGCTTGGTACATAATCAGTACTCAGTGAACATCCCTTCCCTTCCTCTCCATCTTTAGTTCAAGGCATTACTTTTGTTTTAGAGTACAGCATTTTTAAAAATGTGATATTAGGAGGTACAGAGGTTGAGAAGCATGTTAGGCTAAATTTCTATTAAGCTACCTTAAACCAAGCTGAAGATTAATCTATCTAAAATATAGCTTTCATTTCTTACTTATATTCTTCAATGGCATCCTACTACCTGCAACAGTTCAGCTCCTTGGCCTGTTCTACATGCTTACCCAGTACCTTTTCCCTTTTGCTCACTCATTCTGTGCTATATCCAAACATATATGCAATTAAAATGACAGTAAATATTTAAATTAAATTAAATTAATTATTACAGTAAAGGATGTATTGCCATTAATCCTCCTCAAAACATCCCCCCTTGCTTCAAGAACACTTATCCCATCATTCTCGCCTCTTTCTGAAGCAGTTCTTGAAGTCCTTTTTCATGAGTGTCTTTAGTTGAGCTGTTGTGGCTGCCTTGATGTCCTGAATCCATTCAAAATGTTTAGTTTTCATGAACATTTTGCCATGGGGAAGAGCCAGAAGTTGCATGGTGCCAGATCTAGTACATGAGGTGAGTGAGGACACACTGTAATGTTTTTACAAGCTTGCTTTTTCATTGCATGACACTTGGCTGCAGCATTCACTGTATTTTTTTAATCCATCTTGTAAAGATATTCATGAAAGAAGGCTTCCAGAACTATTTCAGAGTGGCAAGAATGATAAGATGAGTGTGTTTGAAGTGAGGTGGGAGAATTTTGAGAGAAATTAATGGCAATGTGTTTTTGCTGCAGTAAATTTTTTAATTCAACAGTGTATATTTTTTTGATTTTTAAAATTAATTTTATTGGTACATTTAAGGTATACAATATAATGACATTCATCATTGGAAATTTGCACCTTTACGTAATCCACCTTGGTTCTTGGTTTTTTTTCCCAATCAGTGTATATTTTGCACAATATTTGTAAATAGGTCCTACTTCCTCTGTACAATCTGCCATTTCTGTGGCTTTTCATCAAAAGTACATTCCACCCAGAGCTCCCTGTCAGTTATGACTAGGTTTCAAAGGCACCTCCCTAAAGCCTGGTTAGATGTATCCATATGGAAATGCCTCCCTAATGGGAACGAACTGAGATGGAGGTGGGGGAAGTGAGAAAAGAGGAAGGAAGTGTAAAAAGAATTAAGATGTGTTACATACATGTAACAACTCACCATGATGAATGTAATCACTAGGTACTGCAAACACATACTAATAAAAATAAAAATTAACAAAGAAATTCTTTGGTTATATTTCCATGGCTATAATTAATCTACATTTTCTTTATGGCATTAGCTATCATGTCCTACTACTGAGTATAGTTATTAATATGTCTTTACTAAAGCCTCCACAATTCTATAGCTGCTTAGAAGTGGTAAAAATGTTTGAGAAACGTTAACCATATGCTGGACCATAAAGTAAATCTCAACAAATTTTCAGAGAAGAAAACCATATAGAATATGCTCTCACTTTACAGTGAAGTTATGGTGGACATCAACTACAAAAAGAAATAAGAAAATCACCAAATGTCTCAAAACTAAGAAATGTACTTATATATATCACCTACATTAAGAAAAAAAATTACAGTAGAAATTAGGAAATATTTCAAACTAAATGATAATGAAAATACTAAGCATCAAAACTTGTAGAGTACAGCTAAAGCAAGATAAATCCAAGAGAAGTTTTAAAGTTTAAATAAACATATTTTCAAGAGAAAGATGAACAAAATAGATCTAAATAAAATACCAGAATGAAAACAATGAAAATAAGATAAATCAATGAAATAGAAAAACACAAATGCATTAAGAACAAAAAATACAAGTTTGTTGATGTGAAAAGATTAATAAAGTTGATAATATTTTATACAAGGCTAATCACAACAAAGAAAAGGCATACATAACCATATCAGGAATAAAGTCATATCAGAAATAAAAATCATATTAGGTATAAAGTAACAGGGGGACTTATCCAGATCATACAGAAGTTAAAAAGACAAAAAAGAAAGATAAAAACAACTTTATTCCATTAAATTTGAAGTTTAAAAGGGCAAATTTCTGGAAAAGTATGACTTGCCAACAATGACCCGAGAAGAAATAGAAAGCCTCAATAGTCATATAATTAAATAAATGACTTAATTAGTCAAAAATCACCCCAAATAGGACATACCAAGCCCAATGATCTCTTTGGCAAGTAATACCAAACACTCAAAGAGAAATAATCTAATATTAACAAAAAGTATTCCAGAAAATAGATAGTCCCCCCTAGTCATTTTATGTAGCTAGCATAAACTTTATAATAAAAATCACAAGGATAGTGCAACAAATTATAACACAACTTCATTCATGGGGATGCAAAAATACAAAATAAAACATAAGAAAATGGATCTTGCAACACATTCGATAATACCTCATAAACAAGTAATATTTAGTAACAATAGGAAAATACATACATTGTAAAAAAAATCAATATAATTTGTGAATTAACACATTAGTGAGAAAAACCACATAATCAGTTTAATAGATGCAAAAAAAGCACTTAAATTTCCATATCAATTTATGGAAAAAATCTTAGCAAACTAACAAAAGAAGAAAAATTTCTCAATCTCATAATGATATTTTTAAAAATTATGACAAACATTATATATGAAGACAAAAGGCTGTACAGTCTCCCTTGTTGATCAAGAGAATGTCCACCATAAATAGACACTTTAGATTCAATATTACATTGGGGGTCCAATGTAAAGCAAGAAAAGAGATGAAAGTATCAGATTTGAAAAAACTGTCATTATTTTAGATATTGTGTAGGTAGAAAATGCAAAACAATCCAAAATATTTAAATTATCTGAACGCTTAACAGGCTTATTGAGATCCTTATCAAGGAAATGATTGTTAAAAGATGTGTGAGGCACTGAAATTTTCTTTATAATTATTTATTATGTCAAACAATCATGTTTTATGCATTTGTGTTTTAGTTTATAATTTTAAGAAGCACTTCAAAAATTAAGTGGTAAGAACCACAAGAGCTGTTAAGTGAATATTCATTGATACTCATCCAACCACTTTAATTTATTTAGATATAAGTAGAAAAAGAAGTAACCAGTAGAATAGAATTAGGAAAGAGCTGCCTGCCTTTGAGCAATCGATAAGTGAGGAAGATAGAAATGAAAAGAAAATAACATTGATTTAATAATTGCCCTATTGTATTCAAAGCATTATGCCAAGGTATTTTATGTATATTAATCAATATTTTATATAAAGATCAAGCCTATAAGTAAGATACTATTATCTCAATTCTGCAGATGAGGAAACTAAGACTAAAAGATGCTAAGTAACAAGTTCAGCCAAGAATCAGTAGGAAGTCAGGATGGAACAAATCTTCCTCCATTAAGTTTCATGGGTTCCTCAGAAATTTCTTCTGATACAACCCATGATTTGGCCATATTCACAGTCCCTTTGTCATGCTGATTCTTATACTCATTTTGTTACCTTTTGTTTCTTCCTCTCCAACAGAGTAGATTCCCTATTTCTCTGCCCTAAGTACACTTAACTCTTAGCCTAGCTCACCCCACCCCAAATTAAACCAAAATAAATTAACCTGAGTCCTTACATTGTTATGGCCTTAGTACATCCTGTGGAAGTACAAACATGTGACAAAGAAGTCACACTGAGTAAATATGGAGCCAGGATAAACTGAGATGTAAACCCTGAGGTCCTTTTCTTTGTTTCATTTCGTTTGTTTTGTTTTTCTTTAAAGTGCTGGTCTAGTTTTCTTCAGGCAACTTTTGCCACCTGGTGGTCAAACCACATAAATTGGTGCTCTGGATCCTGGATCCTAAATCCTCATAATCTAAATCTTGGATTCTAAATCCTCAGAGTTGAAGAATGCCAGTGTACTCATTCACAGGCTCCAAGCTGGGTCTCAGAGTTTCGCTGTGGCTGTTCTGTGTTTTGTTGTTGTTGTTGGTCCTACATTTTTTCCCTAACTCTAACTTCAAAAGCAGCCACTTAATTCTCTTTAAACACAGAACAAATCATTCATGTATTTCCTGCACAACCATTTTAGCATCAAATACACTTATATGACTGTTCCTGGACATGAAGGGCTGAATATTTGTGCTTTTCTTAACCAAACACTGGATTTCCATCTGAGACTGTTTTTGAACTTGACAGGGCCTATTGGATATTTATGAAAAACCTGAGAGTTGATAACCATGAGGCTATAGGTTTAGATGTGCCCTTTATGCTTGTTGGGTGTTTTTTTAATAAAGTAACTGCTTTGCAGAGGGATCTTGTTATCTCTAAAGTAAAACAGATTAGGAAAGCTGTTTTTCAAAGAGATGAGAAAGCATCCACTTCCAGATGTGTCAAAAACTACTGAATCACACTGTCAAAGGATTATGTGGTTGAAGGCAGAAATCAGACAGAAAAAGAGTGATTTTTAGTCTTCTGGTAAGAGTTCAGATTAGTATTAGGATGTTCTTTCATTTGACAAAATAACGGACGCGTAATTTTTTAGAACATATTTTCTAAACTGGAGACTTTTTCTGCTGGATTCTTAGACACAGGAGGGAATATCAAGTCTCCAGGAAATCTGGCAGACCACAGAATAGAATAATTTTTATTCCACAGATTTTATATCAATTGCTTCAAGGACACAGGGGACACCATGGTCTATTTAGAGTTATAGTTGGCCTGAGTTTTCTCTTGAATGGATATATGTATATAAATATTGAACTGAATTAGCGTTACAGTTTTCCTCTCAGTCAGAATGGACCCTTGTGCTACAACTGTCACCAGCCCAAATCAACATGGAACTAGCAGGGAAAATGTAAGTAATTGTGCTTATGAAAGAAAAGCCTTGGCCTGTCCTTGACAGGCATAATTAACTACTCATATGTGGTTGAACCATATATGGAAGTTCATATATGGTTCTTTGGCCGAAGAATTACAAAGTTAAATCTTGTCTTTACCTCAAAATAAGCCTTTCTTACAGGTTTTCATCCTCATTTCCTCTCTCTCTCTCCTCTCTCTCTCTCTCTCCACTTGCTCTACATGTATTTCTAATTTCAATATGTACTGTAGATTTCCTTCATTCAATCAAAAGAAAAAAAGAAAGAACTTACTGAGTACGTGCCAGGTGCTGGTGCTCAGGATGCAGTGAGGAAAACAAGATAGAGTTCCTAGCCTTAGGAATTTACATTCAAAGCAAACAGACCCTAAATAAATAGACTTACTTTTTCCTCCTTCTGCAATAAATGGTAATATTATGATCTTTTTTTAAAAAAATAGTATCAGGCACTGATAAATGCTATGGTTAGAAATAAATCAGAGAAAGAGGCAAAAAAAGGTGCCTTGAGGGTTTGTAACAGGTGAATAGCAAAGAGCAAATCATAACAGACAAAGAGAAGGTAAGTGTGAGAGCCTGGAGACACAGCCAAGTCGGGCAGTCTGCCTAGAGGGGAAAGAGCAAGGCATGTGAGTGAGTTGTTCTTGGACAGTAAGATGGCAGCCACATTACAAACAACTTCGTAGGATGTCCAGTTATTCTACGGGTTAAAAGAAGCCAACTTGGTTCCACTCTTCAGCATCTTGGAAGTGTGTTCCTATAATATCCCATATTTTTCTCATGATACAAGGAGCAACAGCCTGAATCTGTTCCCTTACAGTCCACTCACATGGCTGTTTGCTCCATAGCCAACAAGATTACAATCCTAATCATCACATAAATGTACTCTTTGGTCACAAGGAGGGCTGATTTGTGTCACTCATACTGGTCCATGGCATGGTGCTATGCAGCAGTCCAGTTCATTTATTCATCTAACTAACTCTTGTTAAACTCCATCTGTAAATCTGCAGGTGCTCATTAAGTAGTTCTTAATTAACAAATGAATGGTGAACGGAAGGAAAGCTCTGTAGAATGGTGAAATGGCATCATTTTCTATTAGAGGGTGCATTTATCCAGTTGTTCTTCCCATATATCCCTGCCCCTGCCCTAGTCTGTCACTCACCAGGAAGACCCACACACAGGCTTTGTGACTGTCACCAGCGCAAAATGAATGATGTGTACAGAGCAGTTGATTTTGTTTATTCACTATTTTCAGTTTGTAAAAGTAAATGTACATTGTCAGAAATGAGTGACATACAGCCTGAACGCAAAATCTCTGATATGATTTAGTGTACACCAGATAAGAAGCTGGGTTCTTTCCAGAGTTTAGTGTAACTTCCCTAGGTCGGTATGGATTTAAAATTATTGACACAAACACCTTTTTTTGGCAGCCTGAAACATGCCTCTTAGGAATTAACCTTTCAGCACAGAAACATAGATCACATGGGCAACAAAAAGGCCCAGCACTGACCAAAAGCAAGAACAAAGCCTGAACACAACTGGATGTTTGTGTCTTTGATTTACAGATCCCACCACGAACAACGAGATCAAAGATAAAGCAGCCACAAAGGCTGATTCTCTTGAAAAGGTAAGGAATTATTTTTCCTAAAAGTGTAGATGACAAGTCAGATGATCTGAGAAAACCGTGACCCAGGTTGAGAAACATTCAAAAGAGACAGAGAGAGAGAGAGAGAGAGAGAGAGAGAGAGAGAGAGAGAGAGAGGAGGGGGAGAGAAATCAGGAGAGAGAAAGAGATGCTTAAAAGGCAGATGCTGATGCTAAAGCAGAGGGCTTACAGAAACATTCTGAGACCAGCTTTGGCTGGAGAGAAAGGGGTTAATCTTACCAGCCAGCTTCAACAAAACTTCCCAGCTCCTTGCTCCTCTCTAGACAGTGTGGCTTGGCAACTTCACAAACACCTGCTGACCATACAGCCATGTAGAACGAACGTCGTCTTGAAGTGAGTTCAGAAAACCTGCCTATAATTGCTAACAGGACTCTGAAGAGTATAACCTAACAATAAAAATATTTAGATTATGTTGCCCATAAAAAAAGTCAAAGACATACTCTTTCTGGCAGCAGCTCTCCCAAAATGTTGCCATATGGATTTATACATATGCAGATTTCCCCAATTAGATGGAGTGCATGCTGGTTAGTTGTCAGAGTCCAAGAGGGCTTCATTTGGAGTGAAACAAATTATAGCCCAAATTGTGTTCCTATAATTTTTTAGAAACCCAAGAAGACGATGGTGGAAGCAAATTTGGAGGACATAAAGAACACACAGCAGCGCAGCCTGGTGGATTGGAGTTACACTGAACATTTTAAACCAGAAGTACTGCTTCAGGTATTTATGGGCTTCAGTTCTTCAGGAGATGGATGGACAGGTCTGGGGAGTTGGACTGTGATTTACAACAAACAGTTCACTTCTAGGTCACTCTCTCAAATGTAGTTCAGATCAATATTCCCATTTACTTCAGCTACAAAATGAGTTCATTCCCAGATTGAGCTATGCATTCCCAGGAACTTCCCAAAATAGTTTAAAGCACACTCTCTAAAAGGATATTTTTAGAAAAATCTTAAGAAAAAAATGCACAAGACTGCTTCCATATTTCCTTTAAAAAGTAAGGCTGTTTTTAGAACAAAGTAAGGGAAGCAGCCTGTGTTAGTTACTTTTCTCTCGTAGCTGAGACAAAATACCTGGACACCCAAAGTTGGAGGGGAAGGGGTATATTTGGCTTAAAATTTGTAGAGGTTTCAGTCCATAATCGGCTGGCTTCAAGGCTGGGATGGCACACAAGCATCACCGAGAAGAAACAACATGGCGTGCACAAGGTAGCCAAGGCAACAATGGACCTTACCAGTGTCTTTCTGCCCCTTTTATCTTATTCAGGCTACTTAGGGTGGGCAGATAGCACTCACACCCTTAATCCTAGTGCCCTTGAGCCTAGCATTGCATCATGAATCAATTCCAGTTTCTCACACTCTAGATCCAGCCTGTGACCACATGAGGCTTTGGGGGTACATCTAGACCCAAACTGTAACATTCCGCCCCGGCCTCCCAAAGACTCATGCACATTCCCTTATACAAAAGGCATTTAGTCCATCTCTAAGAGTTGCCAAAGTCCTAACAGCTTCACGGTTCCATTTTTTTTTTTACCTATCCATTCAATTTTCATTACATTTCATATTTTGTGTTTTGATTAATAAGTCAATAAAAGCTGTAATGGCTAACATTTATTGAGCACTTACCATGGGGTAGGCAGTGTCTAATATGTATTACTTACTCACAACACCCCTATGATGTGGAAACTAAACAGCTGAAACTGAAGCACCTTGATAGAGTGACTTTTTGCCCATTAACAAGGTTTCTGAGTGAGAACCAGGATATAGACACACAAAATCCAGCCTGGAATGTGTGCTTTTAAATACTGTATAAAATAACAAGTAACCCTGAAACCAATTCCTTTTGTTGTTTTTAGATTTCATGCAAAAATATACACTCTTTTGGTTTCCTCTTAATTTGGAATTTATTTTTTATAAGTTTTACATCACCTATTTTTGAAGCCAGAAAGATCTACAGTCTTATGGATAACAGCAGCCTGCTACCCTCTACCTGCCTGCTTCAATTCCCAGAGGCAAAAATCTTCAATGCACTTCCTATTTCTTTTATTGTTTTTATTATCTTTATTTTTTTATTATCTTTAAATAATAGGTAAAATTTACTTAGTTTTAGTGGCAATTTGTGGCCATCATTATCAGTTGACTCCCATTTGAGAATAACCACTGTCCACACCCACCCGACACACACGCACACACACCTACTTTTACACTAGCACTTCTCCATTCTCCAATACTGTTTAACTGTATCACAATTTTTGGTTAAATCGATATTGAATTTTTATTTTTTTGTTATATAAATATGATTCACAACCGAATTGTGTGATTATATTTTTTTCTATTTTTCCTGGAATCAGTACCTGCCCTTTCCCGTATTTATTTAGTTTACTGTGAATTTATAGTTAATTTTTCCCAAAACTCTCTACCATACAGTAAATCTCCTCTCAGTCCGTTCAATAATAGATGTTCTAACAGCATTATTGTCTTAATGGTGCTTTGCCCAGATACCCTAAGCTTGGGGTACGACTCTGGTCCAGGCCTCTTTTACCATCCTCCGGCACACCCATTGCCTCTCTTTCCAATTAGACACTGCTGCCTTCATCACCTGTCTTCTTCTCTCTCAGGTCACTCTCTTTCTGGACCTTGCCTTTCACTAGCTTCCTTAATTAAGATTTATGGCAGGCAAAGTTTTGAGGCACTGAATATTTGAATGCATCTTAATTTTACCCTTACAATAACTGACAGCTTGGCTTTATATAGAATGCTAAGTTTTTAAAAATTTCCTTTGAAATATTAAAAGAAAGACCATTCCCCTCATTTCATTGTAATGCAACATGGTACAGTGAAGAGTGATAAGCTGTGGCATGTGAAAAGGTAAAAGAGAGCTCAAAGCCTGATATGAACCCAAACACTAGAACTTACAAACTCTGTGTTCTTGGACAAGTCCCTTATCCTCTCTCAGTTCCAATTTATGCTGAAAAATGAGAGCTCTGATATTTTGAAGTGGAAAAAATAATCTGAGCTACTGTCTTCCACTTCTCAGGCTGCCATAACAAAACACAGACTGTGGCTTACACAACAGAAATTGATTTTTTCAGAGTTCTAGAGAGTTGGAGACCAAGACCAGGGGGCAGCAGAGTTGGATTCTGGTGAGAGCCTGTTTCCTGGCTGGCAGATGACATCTTCTTGCTGAGTTAGCACAGAGCAGACAGGGAGAACAAACTCTAGTACTTCTTTTTGTAATAACTTTAATCCCATTATGACATCATCTAAACCTAATTAACTCCCCAAAGCACCATCTCCAAATATCAACCCACTAGGCATTAGAGCTCTACCATCCATACATTTGGACCAGAGGAGACATAACTTAGTCCATGGCACCTATTTATCTGGGGTGTTTAACGATAATAAAATGAGATGATCTATATGAAGTGATAAAAACACTACATAAATAACTGATTTAATTATTATCTACCAGCATTAATGAAGAATTTTTAGCAGATACCTGTGTGTTTTCATGCCAGAGCTGCCAAAATGCTCCATGAACTAATATCTTTTATGCTCTCACTTTTGAGCAGTTAGGAAAGCATCTTCTGAGGATTCCAACTTGACTAACAATGCAAAAATTAAGGGAGAAATAATGGGAGGCAGGGATATGCCTAGCAGGAGACTGTTGTTTTTAGGGAAAAAAAAATCAATAATGCAATTATTTTGACTTTTAGGTTCTTCAAGAAGCTTATCAGCAATATCGGTGTGTAGATTCTTATTACTATACCCAGGATAATTCTTTACTTTTAGTTTTTCATAATCCAATGAATTTACAACGTCTGCACTGTGAATATTGGAATATTGCTCTTCACTCTAATGTTGGATTCAGGTAATCAATTTAGATAGTTTAGTTAGTTAGACAGTTAAGTTAGATAGTTACGTGGGTTTTCATTCCTTAACCTAAACTAAGTGGTTTAATTTAATGAAAATATTTGTGTAGTTTCTAGATCTCATTCAGCTCATTGAATTGAATATCTACCATGCACCTTCCCTGGGGCTAAGTATTGAAGCTATACCACTAAAAGAGACAAACGTCTTTTTTGCCTTCCAGGGGGTCTAGTGGAGATGTTATTAAATTACATTTTTATTCATTTCGACTCTAATAAGACTGCCTCTGAAAGCTTTCAAGTGGTAACTACAAAACATGACAATCTGATTGCTCATTTAGATGGTGCCATTTGATCGGCGTAACATTCAAAATAAAGACAACCGATTTTTTTTAAATTAAGGTATATAGAGGTGTATTAATACGATCTCTTGAACTATAAATCTGTGGTTTTGCTTTGTTTTGTTTTTCATTTCAATAATTATGCTGTTAATTTCTTTTCCAGTCTTACTTGAGATGAGGAATGCCAATATAATTTTGAAAGAGCATTCTTATGCTAGGTTTTAAAGGTGTTGTGAATATGCAACAACTTCTAACTACCATTATACTTTCTTATTTGACTCACAGAATACATAAAAATGTCACCTTTACTTTTAAATACTTGACTGTGAGTTACATTTTTGTTATAGTTCATAACTTTAAAATATATTAGTAGATAATGATCTATAGAATACTCACACTATGAAATTTGTTGGCACTTGCTTTACTGTTTAACATGTGGTCAGTTTGTATAGATGCTCCAAGTTTTTTGTGACCCACCCGAAAATTCAATCCAGAGCTCAGTAGCAGATTCAGTTATACAGAAGAAAGAAATAGCATCTCAGAATATCCAGTCAAAAGAATAAAAAGGAGAATCATGAATAAAAATTTGTGTGACTTATAAGACATCATCAAGGGCCAGAGATTTAGCTCAGTGGTTCTGCTGCCTGCCTCACAAGTGCAAGGACCCGAGTTCAATCCCCAGTACCAAAAAAAAAAAAAAAAGAGACATCATCAAGTAAAAGAATGTACTATGGGAGATACAGAAAGAGCAGAGAAAGAGGAAGGAAAATAAAACTTATTTAAGTAATAACAACAAACTTCCCAAATCCACAGAGAAATGAATGTTCAGAGTCATTATGTCCAAAACCCCAAACAGGCTGAACATCAAGTTATTTCCACCAAAACAATTAAAATAAAATTATGAAAAATGAAAAATAAAATTTTGAAAGCCGCACAAGAAAAATGACTTGTCACACACAAGGCAACTTTATAACATTATTAGTGAATTTCTTAGCAGAAATCTTGTAGGTCAGGAGGTAGAGAAAAAAGAGGAGAGGAGAGGAAAGGAGAGAGAAAGAGAGAGAGAGAGAGAGAGAGAGAGAGAAAGAAAAGGAAGGGAGGGAGGGAGGAAGAAAGGAAGGAGAAAGAAAGAAAGAAAGAAAGAAAGAAAGAAAGAAAGAAAGAAAGAAAGAAAGAAA